ATACCAGACACGAGAGGAAACTCCCTGACAGCAGCCCTGTGGAGAGGGGATTTGGGGGTTCTGTTGGATGAGCAGCTCGACATGAGCCAGCAGTGCGTGCTTGCGGCCCAGAAGACCAGCTGCCTCCTGGGCTACATCAAAAGCAGCGTGGCCAGCAGGGGAGGGAGGGGATTGCCCCCCTCTGCTCTGCCTTTGTGAGGCCTCACTGGGAGTGCTGCATCCAGGTGTGGAGCCCACAGCACAAGAAGGACACAGGTCTGTTAGAGTGTCTCCAAGGAAGAGCCATGAGGATGATCAAAGAGCTGGAGCACCTCTATTGTAAAGAAAGGCTGAGGGAGCTGGGGATGTTGAGCCTGGAGAAGAGAAGGCTCAGGGGTGACCTTATTGCAGCTTTTCCGTTCTTAAAGGGGGCTTTTAAAAAAGATTGAGAGCAACTTTATGCTCAGGCAGGCAGTGACTGGACAAAGGCAGATGGACTTGGTGATCCTTGTGGGTCCCTTCTGTGATTCTAAGGGGGAATGGTTTTAAACTAAAAGAAGGGAGATTTGGATTAGATGCTATAAATTCTTTATTCAGAGGGCGGTGAGGCCCTGGCACAGGCTGCCCAGAGAAGCTGTGGATGCCCCATCCGTGGAGGTGTTCAAGGCCAGGCTGGATGGGGCTTTGGGCAACCTGGTCTGGTGGGAGGTATCCCTGCCAATGGCAGGGGGCTGGAACCAGGGGATCTTTAAGATCCCCTCCAAGCCAAAGCAGCTCCATGGTCCTATGATTCTGTGAATATCAGGTGGCAGAAGTGAGTATTGTCTTGTTACCAAATACACACCCTGGAGCTAGAAGCCATCCTGAAAACCCCAGTTTCAGATCGTGGTCCTGGGAGGCAATGGTGGACAGGTATGTATGAGGGAGTTTTGTATCACGTGTGTGGGGAGAGGCAATCTGGTGAGCAGGCCTGATGCCACCAAGTCAAGCTGTGGGCAGTGATGACCAGCTTCAGCACAGGGATCCTGGCAGGCCAGGCCACGAGGGACTAAGGATAAAGCACAACCCTGCTTTCACTTTTAAAACCCAGGCAGGGCACTGGTGCTACAAGGTGCAGGTGTCTTCTTTCACCTCTTAGACAGAGTCTGGTTCCTGGCTGGACTCATTCCTCACATGGGGTTTGGTCATCAGAGCAGGGCCTGGATAAGGGGTTCCCTGCTCACAGGCTGCTAACAAGGAAGGAAATAAAGGGAGGGAGCTTGTCCTACACTGCTACTCCTCCCTCTCATCGCTTCTACTCTCTCCTGTGCTGCCACTGTAAACGTCTGAGAGATAATAAAGCCAGACTCTTCAGGCTGAGGTCCTGGGAGAAGCACGCACAATGCCCTGAAGCTCAGCACCTGAGGCTGGGTGTCACACAGCACTCTCGGCCACAGTCACACTTAACATCTTAGCAAGGAGAAAGGGCTGGATCCCACATACACAGCGGGTAGTTATTTCTGAACGCTGGAATTTGCAGCTGAAGGAATCAGCACCACTGCTTCCAGAGAAGCAAATGAGGGAAGCATTCCATCTTTTTGTAGTCATTCTAACAGTAGACAGCGGAGTAGATTGTTTTCTGCTTTTGGTGAGAGTGCCATATATAATTCTGCTTGATTTTCAACAAACTGAGATGAGATAACCTTTTCCTTGAAAAGCAGCTCCTCCTTATAGCCACATTGGTTGTAGTTTCTTCTTACTTCTGCCAGATGCTATTTGTCTGTTGTTTTGTTGTTTGTTTTTTTTTGTTTGTTTGTTTGTCCTGCCCACACAGAAGTTGATTTTGCCCAGTGCAGGCCTGCAGTTCTGTAACTGCTTCCGTAGTGAGATGTTTCCAGCCCTTGTTTTCGGGGCCAGCCTCTACCCTATTGCTGGCCTGGCCTTCTCTTCACTGTACTGCCTGCCCTCAGTTTTTGGGCTTCTGCTTTCCTGAGCTCTGCCTTGCCCTTTGCTCTTTGTACCAGCTTGTGGTAGCATCCTAAATATCTTCTCCATACAGAATAATGAGTGTTTACAGCCATCTGTATGCACCTCTCTGCTGTCTGCTACGGCTGTACCCTACCAGGATAAGCAAAACAGAAGAGCCGCAGCCACCTGATCTGCAGCAAAAGCACCAAGAAAAGTGAAAGTGCAGCTCCAGGCAGGCCAAGGAAAAGCTGAGGCAGCAGAAGGCTGGCCAGCCTCGCCTCAGTCACCCTGCAGACTCAGTACAAAGCTGTCCTTCGCTATGAGCCTGGCAGTGTGATACTCCTGGGCTAGAGGGCTAGGGGTCGGGATGCAGGAGAAGCCCTGGCGAGGGTGCTGCTACACCACTGGGTCTGGAGACGAGGAGAGGAGACGCAGCAAGACTTGGATGTGTGCAAGAACAGCAGCACGGGCCTCTCTGCGCATCCTGTGGGCTCAGCCAGATGCACGCGTGCTGGCTCCGTGCCCTCAGGCTAACCCATGTCAAGCGCAAGCGCACGCACCCTGACCTCAGCGCTCACCCCAGCAGCGCCCACAGCTGAGCTGGGACCCAAGCACTACATCCATCCCAGTTCAAGGGGCCACAGGGACTGAACACAAAAGCTGCCAGGAAAAGTGCTGTGTCCTGTGGTGTCTCCATGGCGGCATCTGGGTGCAACCCCTTTCACCAAATGGAGACGCAAAGCTTGGGGCTGGAAGCAGCCGGGTTCCGCACCTGGGAAGGGGCAATCCTGGCTATATGTACAGACTGGGGGACGAGATGCTGGAGAGCAGCCCCAAAGAGAGGAATCTGCAGGTTTTGATTGACAGCAAGCTGTTAACCCAGGACAGTGGTCACAGCACCAAGCCTGACGGTGTTCAAGAAGTGTTAGGACAATGCTCTCAGACACACAGTCTGTTTTATTTGATCTTTTTTTGGGGTAGTTCCTTTGGGGACTAGGAGTTGCACTCAATGATCCTTGTGGGTCCCTTCCACCTCACATATTCTATGATAGAAACAGCCAGAGGCACTCTCACCTTTTAGACTCACTGCAGCACACTGTATTCTTCTAGAAAGGCAACATCAATTAACCCCTGAATACCGATCTGCCCCTAAACTCCTATGGAAATGGGCCACACAATCCAATAACTAATTTATTCTTTAATCATTTAGATCACCTTCATAGAATCAGAGAATCTTGGGTTGGAAGGGATATTAAAGATCATCCCCCTGGGGCGCAATAACCCCAAGCAGAACTACAGGCTGGGAGATGAGTGCTTGGAGAGCTGCCAGGCAGAGAAGGACCTGGGAGTGATGGTTGATAGTCGGCTGAGTATGAGCCAGCAGTGTGCTCAGGTGGCCAAGAAGGCCAACAGCATCCTGGCTTGTACCAGAAGCAGTGTGGCCAGCAGGGCTAGGGAGGTGATCGTCCCCCTGTACTTGGCTCTGGTGAGGCCGCACCTCGAGTGCTGTGTTCAGTTTTGGGCCCCTCACTACAAGAAGGACATGGAGGTGCTCGAGCGAGTCCAGAGAAGGGTGACGAAGCTGGTGAGGGGCCTGAAAAACAAGTCTTACGAGGAGCGGCTGAGGGAGCTGGGCTTGTTCAGCCTGGAGAAAAGGAGGCTCAGGGGCGACCTTATCGCTCTCTACAGGTACCTTAAAGGAGGCTGTAGTGAGGTGGGGGTTGGTCTGTTCTCCCGCGTGCCTGGTGGCAGGATGAGGGGGAATGGGCTAAAGTTGCGCCAGGGGAGGTTTAGGTTGGATGTTAGGAAGACTTCTTTACCGAAAGGGTTGTGAGGCATTGGAACGGCTGCCCAGGGAAGTGGTGGAGTCACCATCCCCGCAGGTCTTTAAAAGACGTTGAGATGTAGAGCTTAGGGATCTGGTTTAGTGGAGGACTTGTTAGTGTTAGGTCAGAGGTTGGACTCGATGATCTTGAGGCCTCTTCCAACCTATGTGATTCTGTGATTCTGTGATCTAATTCCCCTCCTCTTTGTCTTGCCATGATCAGGGACACCTCCCATCAGACCAGGTTGCCCAAAGCCTCATCCAACCTGGCCTTGAACACTTCCAGAGACAGGGCATCCACAGCTTCTCTGGGCAACTCGTACCAGTGCCTCACGGCCCGCAGAGTAAAGAACGTCTTCCTTATATCTCATCTAAACCTACCCTCTGTTATGAGGTCTGCCGGAGCCTGCTCTTCTCCACACTAAACGTTCCCAACTCCCTCAGCCTGCCTTTGTAGAAAGGGTACTCCGGATCCTTCATCATCTCTGTGGCCTCCTCTGGACTCATTTGAATGCATCCCTGTCTTTCTTTTCCTGGGGGGGCCCCAGAGCTGAACGCAGTGCTCCAGGTGGGGTCTCACGAGAGCAGAGCAGAGGGGGACAATCACCTCCCCAGCCCTGCTGGCCACACTGCTTTTGGTGCAGCCAGAATACGGTTGGCTTTCTGGGCTGCAAGCACACAGTGCTGCCTCATGGTGAGCTTCTCGTCAACCACCACCCCCAGGTCCTTCTCCTCTGGGCTGCTCCCAATCCATTCTCTGCCCGAGCTCTCTTTATCCTTGGCATTGCCCCAGCTCGGATGCAGGACCTCGCACTTAGCCTTGTGGAACCCCATGATGGTCACACAGGCCCACCCCTCCTGCCTGTCCAGGTCCCTCTGGATGGCATGCCTTCCCTACAGCGTGTCATCCCTTCCCACACAGCTCGGTGGCATTGGCAAACTAGCGGAGGGTGCACTCGATCCCACTGTCCGTGTCACCAACACAGATGTTAAACAGCGCCGGTGCCATATTAGCAAGCAGCACAAAGTGTATTTCCTCCTGGTCTGGACGGTATCACACAAGAGGCCTAAGCTTTGGAGGCCACTTCAGATCTCCTGGATTGGCCTTAGGTGGAAGACCTGGAGCTGGTTGACAGATGTACCTTTTCTACACTTGGTAACCTGGCTGTGCTTGTGGTCATCAGACAATATTTCTGTGGTGCTGGACCGTGGGCAGGACTGGAGGGACTGTGTGGTGCAGCCCGAGAGGCAGGCCCGAGCTGTGATCGAACGGACCCTCCTGCTGTATGTGCTTGAAGACACATGGCGTAGCCAAGGTGACCGGGACGGGGCCCTGGGAAGGCACAGCCAGGGACCCCGGCCTGCTGGGAAACACCAGTGCCACGGACAAGACAAAAGTTGGGGGGCATGGAGTGGACACGAGCATTGCGGGAGGCTCAGAATTTGGGGCCAGAGAGCTGCCGAGGTGAGGATGGGCTCTTGGGATACCTCCTACGGGTGGCTGGTGGCGTCTCCAAGCGATGGACTGTGACGTCTGTGAGCAATGGATTGTGACTGCGTGGCCCTGGCTGCTCATATGCGGGCGCAGAGTCCCAGCGCGCCGGCTAGTGCCCGCACTCCGGCTGAGCGGTTGCGTGAGGTCTGGAGTGAGGAGCGAGGTTGGCCTTGGTGCTGGTGTCGTGCCCTGGGAGTTGCTGCAGCAGCTCTCAGTGCCCTTCCCAGAGCCATCAGAGCTTCTTCCACGGCCCTGCGTCGTTCGGGCCGTCGGGAGACCCAGGAGGAGCGCTCGCAGCAGCAGAGGTAAGTGCGGTGGGGACACCTTGCCCTGGGCCCTGGGCAGCTGGAAGGGTTTCCTCCTCTGGGGACCTGCACAGCTCTTGCAGCTGCCCCACAGCAGCCGATGACCGTGGCCTCTTCTCTGCCTTTTGCAGCGTGACAGCTGCTGGTGCAGCAGCAGTGAGGAGGAGCAGCCCCTCATCCCCTGCTCCACGCAGCCCACTGCAGCAGCTGGAGAGCATGGCCACGGCGCTGGAGAGCCGCTGCCCCATTTGCCTTGACACCTGGGACAATGCGGGCTACGTGATGCCATGTCTCCACCAGTTCTGCTTCCGATGCATCCAGCGGTGGGTGGAGAGCAAGCCCGAGTGCCCCCTCTGCAAGAGGAGGGTCAGCTCCATCGTGCACTCGGTGCGGGCAGACAACGAATTTGAGGAGCTCATCATCCCAGCGCCGGCAGAAGCGTCTCTCATCACCCAGCCGGCAGGGAGAGCTCGTGGCCGCGCAGCCACCACCACCCCCGTCACCGTCCTGCAGCACCACCATCAGCTGCAGGGCCGGCTCTTGTGGGAGGCCTCCAGCCTGAAGTTTGGGCCTCCCTTTTCCGAGACCACCCAACGCTGATCCATCCCGTGCTGCCCTGGCTGCGCCAGGAGCTGAGGCGCATCCATGGGGATGACCATGCGGAGGCGCAAATGGTGGAAGACCTCCTCACCTCCGCCGTGGGCCTCCTGGGGCTGGATGAAGATCGCCTGGTCCAGCTGCTGCAGCTTTCCATGCCGGAGCACGCAGCCACCTTTGTGCACCGGCTCATCAGCATCACACCGTGCAGCGGTGCAGCTGGGTGGCCCACCGCCTGCTGGGCCTGGAGGGCTCCCGTGCTGCCATGGGACAGGCAGGCAGCCCCGCAGCTGGCCCCAGGCCTTCTGCCTCCGAGAGGGGCCTCCTGGTCCTGGTCCAGAGCCCTCCAACAACGCTGCTCGAGGCAGCACAGACGAACTCGCGGGCGGCTCCAGTGCTGCCCTTCAAGGGAGTCGCAGCCAGCCCCCCTCCAGCGCGGTTCCTGTCCCCAGGAACCAAGAAGCGCCCCAGGAGGAGACACAGGAGGCTGTGCCTGGAGCCTTCACAGCAGACCAGGGCAGGGATCATCCCCAAAGGGGGGCCCCGGCGAGCCCCAAAGAGGAGGTCCCCAACCTCCCAGGCCTCTTCTCCAGCAGCCAAGAAGAGGCCCACCCCCGCCGGCAACACTAGGGCAGCGCCCCAGGAGCTGGCCACAAGACGGCCGGGCCAGCGGGTGGGGTACACAGAAGGCCCTCAGGAAATACAATGTAGAAAATAAATCATATGTATATAAAGTCTCAGTGTAGCTAACAATGTATTTGGTGTCGCCATCCCCAGCCCTACTGCCATCTCCCCCTCTTCCTGCTGCTGTGCCCCGCCAGCCTCCTGGCGTGCCCGCTGTGAGGTCTGGTGGGGTTGGGGCACGGCGATGCCGCCCTTGGCCAGGAGGGCTGGGGTGTTCGTCTCGGCGCTCCCCTCCTCTCCCCAGGTGCCCGGCCCCACTGCTGTGCTCCCCCTGACAGCGCGTGCTGCCCAGCCGCAGGCCTGCAGCTCTGCAGCTGCTCCCAGCGGGAGGTTTGGTGCCAGGGGGTGCCTGGGTTCAACAAGTCCAAGCACCAGGTGCTGCACCTGTGTCGGAGCAATACCAGACACGAGAGGAACTCCCTGACAGCAGCCCTGTGGAGAGGGATTTGGGGGTTCTGTTGGATGAGCAGCTCGACATGAGCCAGTAGTGCGTGCTTGCGGCCCAGAAGACCAGCTGCCTCCTGGGCTATATCAAAAGCAGCGTGGCCAGCAGGGGAGGGAGGGGATTGCCCCCCTCTGCTCTGCCTTTGTGAGGCCTCACTGGGAGTGCTGCATCCAGGTGTGGAGCCCACAGCACAAGAAGGACACAGGTCTGTTAGAGTGTCTCCAAGGAAGAGCCATGAGGATGATCAAAGAGCTGGAGCACCTCTATTGTAAAGAAAGGCTGAGGGAGCTGGGGATGTTGAGCCTGGAGAAGAGAATGGCTCAGGGGTGACCTTATTGCAGCTTTTCCGTTCTTAAAGGGGGCTTTTAAAAAAGATTGAGAGCAACTTTATGCTCAGGCAGGCAGTGACTGGACAAAGGCAGATGGACTTGGTGATCCTTGTGGGTCCCTTCTGTGATTCTAAGGGGGAATGGTTTTAAACTAAAAGAAGGGAGATTTGGATTAGATGCTATAAATTCTTTATTCAGAGGGCGGTGAGGCCCTGGCACAGGCTGCCCAGAGAAGCTGTGGATGCCCCATCCGTGGAGGTGTTCAAGGCCAGGCTGGATGGGGCTTTGGGCAACCTGGTCTGGTGGGAGGTATCCCTGCCAATGGCAGGGGGCTGGAACCAGGGGATCTTTAAGATCCCCTCCAAGCCAAAGCAGCTCCATGGTCCTATGATTCTGTGAATATCAGGTGGCAGAAGTGAGTATTGTCTTGTTACCAAATACACACCCTGGAGCTAGAAGCCATCCTGAAAACCCCAGTTTCAGATCGTGGTCCTGGGAGGCAATGGTGGACAGGTATGTATGAGGGAGTTTTGTATCACGTGTGTGGGGAGAGGCAATCTGGTGAGCAGGCCTGATGCCACCAAGTCAAGCTGTGGGCAGTGATGACCAGCTTCAGCACAGGGATCCTGGCAGGCCAGGCCACGAGGGACTAAGGATAAAGCACAACCCTGCTTTCACTTTTAAAACCCAGGCAGGGCACTGGTGCTACAAGGTGCAGGTGTCTTCTTTCACCTCTTAGACAGAGTCTGGTTCCTGGCTGGACTCATTCCTCACATGGGGTTTTGGTCATCAGAGCAGGGCCTGGATAAGGGGTTCCCTGCTCACAGGCTGCTAACAAGGAAGGAAATAAAGGGAGGGAGCTTGTCCTACACTGCTACTCCTCCCTCTCATCGCTTCTACTCTCTCCTGTGCTGCCACTGTAAACGTCTGAGAGATAATAAAGCCAGACTCTTCAGGCTGAGGTCCTGGGAGAAGCACGCACAATGCCCTGAAGCTCAGCACCTGAGGCTGGGTGTCACACAGCACTCTCGGCCACAGTCACACTTAACATCTTAGCAAGGAGAAAGGGCTGGATCCCACATACACAGCGGGTAGTTATTTCTGAACGCTGGAATTTGCAGCTGAAGGAATCAGCACCACTGCTTCCAGAGAGCAAATGAGGGAAGCAATTCCATCTTTTTGTAGTCATTCTAACAGTAGACAGCGGAGTAGATTGTTTCTGCTTTTGGTGAGAGTGCCATATATAATTCTGCTTGATTTTCAACAAACTGAGATGAGATAACCTTTTTCCTTGAAAAGCAGCTCCTCTTATAGCCACATTGGTTGTAGTTTCTTCTTACTTCTGCCAGATGCTATTTGTCTGTTGTTTGTTGTTTGTTTTTTTTGTTTGTTTGTTTGTCTGCCCACACAGAAGTTGATTTTGCCCAGTGCAGGCCTGCAGTTCTGTAACTGCTGCTCCGTAGTGAGATGTTTCCAGCCCTTGTTTTCGGGGCCAGCCTCTACCCTATTGCTGGCCTGGCCTTCTCTTCACTGTACTGCCTGCCCTCAGTTTTTGGGCTTCTGCTTTCCTGAGCTCTGCCTTGCCCTTTGCTCTTTGTACCAGCTTTGTGGTAGCATCCTAAATATCTTCTCCATACAGAATAATGAGTGTTTACAGCCATCTGTATGCACCTCTCTGCTGTCTGCTACGGCTGTACCCTACCAGGATAAGCAAAACAGAAGAGCCCGCAGCCACCTGATCTGCAGCAAAAGCACCAAGAAAAGTGAAAGTGCAGCTCCAGGCAGGCCAAGGAAAAGCTGAGGCAGCAGAAGGCTGGCCAGCCTCGCCTCAGTCACCCTGCAGACTCAGTACAAAGCTGTCCTTCGCTATGAAGCCTGGCAGTGTGATACTCCTGGGCTAGAGGGCTAGGGGTCGGGATGCAGGAGAAGCCCTGGCGAGGGGTGCTGCTACACCACTGGGTCTGGAGACGAGGAGAGGAGACGCAGCAAGACTTGGATGTGTGCAAGAACAGCAGCACGGGCCTCTCTGCGCATCCTGTGGGCTCAGCCAGATGCACGCGTGCTGGCTCCGTGCCCTCAGGCTAACCCATGTCAAGCGCAAGCGCACGCACCCTGACCTCAGCGCTCACCCCAAGCAGCGCCCACAGCTGAGCTGGGACCCAAGCACTACATCCATCCCAGTTCAAGGGGCCACAGGGACTGAACACAAAAAGCTGCCAGGAAAAGTGGCTGTGTCCTGTGGTGTCTCCATGGCGGCATCTGGGTGCAACCCCTTTCACCAAATGGAGACGCAAAGCTTGGGGCTGGAAGCAGCCGGATTCCGCACCTGGGAAGGGGCAATCCTGGCTATATGTACAGACTGGGGGACGAGATGCTGGAGAGCAGCCCCAAAGAGAGGAATCTGCAGGTTTTGATTGACAGCAAGCTGTTAACCCAGGACAGTGGTCACAGCACCAAGCCTGACGGTGTTCAAGAAGTGTTAGGGACAATGCTCTCAGACACACAGTCTGTTTTTATTTGATCTTTTTTTGGGGTAGTCCTTTGGGGACTAGGAGTTGCACTCAATGATCCTTGTGGGTCCCTTCCACCTCACATATTCATGATAGAAACAGCCAGAGGCCACTCTCACCTTTAGACTCACTGCAGCACACTGTATTCTTCTAGAAAGGCAACATCAATTAACCCCTGAATACCGATCTGCCCCTAAAACTCCTATGGAAATGGGCCACACAATCCAATAACTAATTTATTCTTTAATCATTTAGATCACCTTCATAGAATCAGAGAATCTTGGGTTGGAAGGGATATTAAAGATCATCCCCCTGGGGCGCAATAAACCCCAAGCAGAACTACAGGCTGGGAGATGAGTGCTTGGAGAGCTGCCAGGCAGAGAAGGACCTGGGAGTGATGGTTGATAGTCGGCTGAGTATGAGCCAGCAGTGTGCTCAGGGTGGCCAAGAAGGCCAACAGCATCCTGGCTTGTACCAGAAGCAGTGTGGCCAGCAGGGCTAGGGAGGTGATCGTCCCCCTGTACTTGGCTCTGGTGAGGCCGCACCTCGAGTGCTGTGTTCAGTTTTGGGCCCCTCACTACAAGAAGGACATGGAGGTGCTCGAGCGAGTCCAGAGAAGGGTGACGAAGCTGGTGAGGGGCCTGAAAAACAAGTCTTACGAGGAGCGGCTGAGGGAGCTGGGCTTGTTCAGCCTGGAGAAAAGGAGGCTCAGGGCGACCTTATCGCTCTCTACAGGTACCTTAAAGGAGGCTGTAGTGAGGTGGGGGTTGGTCTGTTCTCCCGCGTGCCTGGTGGCAGGATGAGGGGAATGGGCTAAGTTGCGCCAGGGGAGGTTTAGGTTGGATGTTAGGAAGAACTTCTTACCGAAAGGGTGTGAGGCATTGGAACGGGCTGCCCAGGGAAGTGGTGGAGTCACCATCCCCGCAGGTCTTTAAAAGACGTTGAGATGTAGAGCTTAGGGATCTGGTTTAGTGGAGGACTTGTTAGTGTTAGGTCAGAGGTTGGACTCGATGATCTTGAGGCCTCTTCCAACCT